TTTTTTTTTTTTTTTTGGTACCAGAGATTGGACTCTGGGGCACTCGACCCCTGAGCCACATCCCCCACCCCTATTTTGTTTAGAGACAGGGTCTCGCTGAGTTGCTGAAGGCCTCGCTTTTTGCTGAAGTTGATTTGAACTCGCTATCCTCCAGTCCCAGCCTCCTGAGCCRCTGGGATCACAGGCGTGAGCCACCACACCYGGCTTGGTGGCTCTTGATAGCTCCCACCTACTCAGCCTTCTTTAGAACACCGCCTAGAGTTGTCTGAATATGTTTCCTGAGTTGCAATTCCCAAGACCTCAAAATGGTCAATTTGACTTGTGCAGCCTGTAAGTCTGGGACGCACACGCAGGCGCCGGGTTACATGGAGTGGCAGGGGTCAGGGTGTGAGGGTGGGACTTGCTGACTGCCACCAGCAGGGCTTCAAGCTCTGGGTCTGCTGAAAACCAGGGAGGCCATGTTCAGCCTGGGGTTGGGGCCTGCCCAAAGGTGGGGGGATCAGGGAATGATGGGGTCCTTTGCTGGAGTCTGGGGGCGAGGTGAGCCCTTCCAGGTCCTCCCGGCGCAGGGCTGAGACGGTGGGCCGGCTCCGCGGGCGTGACCAGTGCTTTGCCTCCAGGCGCCTCACTTTCTGCACCTGCGAAATGGGCGCGCGCCGGCCCCCGCCCGGCGCCGGGGAGGAGGGCGGTGCGCACGGAGCGCAGGGAGGGGACTAAAGCCGAAGAGSGAGTCAGCGAACCGGGAAGCGCCGGCGCCGGCGGGCGGGCGGGGCGGAAGGAGGAGCCCGGCCTGCGGCCCGCGGAGCCCGAGTCTCGGTGGCCGTGCAGCCGGGAGGCGGCGGCGGCGGCGGCGACAGTAAGTGCGGGCCGAGGCCGGGCGGCGACTGGGACTGGCCTGGGACGAGCCCTCTGGCCCCCGATCGTCCCGGGCTCGCGCTCTCTCGCCTTCACCTCCCGCGCCCGCCTCCCTCCGGGCTCCGCGCCCCGCTCTCCTCTCGCTCGGGCTTTCCACCTTCTCCTCCCAGACTCTCGCTCTCCTCCGCCCTGTGCCTGTGCCTCACAGCCCGGGTGCGGGGCGGAATGTGGGCCAGGCAACCCCAGGGTCCAGAGGTGTCTGGCTCTGTGGCTCCAAACTGGGGGCCTGCCTGGGGCTGGGTGYCCAGGGCCGCAGGGCTTCCCAACTAGCTGCCCAGCCCCCTGATCTGTTCCCCGGCGAGGAAATCGAGTACCACCGGCAAGACTAACTTAGCCAGGGTCGGGAACCTAGCTGATCCTGCAGGACACCCACACCCCCGTGTTGCTGCTGCTTGGTGCCCGGGCTACCCCTCACCCCAGAGTCTCCCAGGGAGGGAGCAGGGCTGGTGCCTGACCCGGGGAAGCTTGGTCATTTCCTTGCCTTCTGCTAGCTTTCACAAAGGGTAATAAGACTCTGCGCACTCCAGTGCTCTGGCCCATGACCCGGGAAAATTCCTGGCTCCTTCAGAGGCCCTGTCAAGGCTGAATGGCCCTGGACAAACAGATGATGAGCTGGGAAGGGCCTGAGTGACCTAGCCTTTGGGCCCTGATGCTGTCCCTCTGGATAGAACATCTGGTTGACTTCTATGGATTAGAATCACTTTTTTTYCCCCCATTGCTGGGGATTGAACCCCAGGCCTTGCACATGTTAGGCAAGTGCTCTATCACATCCCACCCCACTTTGCWCATTCTTTAGCAGTAATTTCAAGTGTGTGATAGTGTGAGCATATGTGTGCATATACGCACACCCTGGCTGGGAGGGGCTTGCTCAACCAAGGGAGATTCAAATAGACTTGCTGACTGGATGCTCTGGGCCTACTTTGGGCAGCTTTCAGCGGCCCTGCGCCAGGGTACATTCTGCCCAGTAGGGGGCGCTGTCCTGGTTGTGCACAGCCCCATCATTCAGCAGATACTGATGCTGTGTGCACGCTGGTCACTCCCTTTGCCTCTGCTCCCAGCTTCATGGCTGCAAGGCCTTCAGGAAGGGGGTTTGGACTTGGAACCAGCAGACACAGGTTCACATCCCCTCCCAGGGAAGCCCAGGAGTCTGGCATGGGCTCCAGGCTGCTTGGTGTGAGACTTCACTATTGCCATCTGGTAGCTGTGTGACCTTGGGCAAGTTACTGAAACTTTCTGAGCCTCAGACCCCTCATCTGTGAAATGAGTAGGACCTAACATGTCCRGCTGTTGTCAAGCTCAAGGGCTAGGCGGAACCTTGGCATGTGTGGTTACAGGACTTTATTTTAGCTCCTGGGAATTCTTTCTGTTGAAAGTAGGAAAAAGCAAGAGCCTTCAAGGCTTCCATTTTTCCATCTGTAGAAGGAGCAAAAATGTCGGCCCTGCCTCATTCCTTGGGCTGYCATGAGGTTATCCCAGGATATAGACAAGGCTCCCTGTCCGTGCTGGGGGTGCTCCCGGGTCAGGGCGGCTTCCCCTGCCAGCCGCGTCACATGTATTTATTCGTTTATAGGATGGAGAGGATGCTACTGCGGGAGGGACCCCAGACTGAGTGTCCCGTTCTCAGCGTTATGTATTTCCCATTTTTCAAGCTGCTACCACATCCTCRGTGCCAGCTAGAGCGAGGAAGTGGGATGCCACCTTGCAGCCAGCCAGACAGGTGATGAGCCCAGGATGCCAGGGACTATCAGCCGTCTGTTCAGTAGCCGCTTCCCCACGCCGGYCGGTGCCAGCCAGTCCGAGTTCATGGCCATTGTAAAAAAGGCTTCCCTGGCTTTGCACGTGGGGCAGTCGAGGCTCAGAGGCGGGCAACGTGCCCAAGGCCTTGCGGGCAGCGGTTGTCAGCAGCCCAGAACCTTCACTGCCTTTGGTGCTACCACGGCTTGGGAGTGGCCGTCTCCTGGCGGGATGTGTTGACCGAGCTGGGACCCCAGGCACGAGCTGGAAGCCTCTGCCCAGCCATTTACCTAGTCTGTGACCTGGGCCTCTGTCCCCACAAATGAAAATGAGGAGTGGGCTAAATATATTATTTAATTCAGATAACTTTATTAACTAACTTATTTTGTACCAGGGATTGAACCCAGGGGCACCTGACCACTGAGCCACCTCCCCAGCCCTTTTATATATTTTATTTAGAGACAGAGTCTCTCCAAGTGGCTTAGGGACTCACTAAGTTGCCGAGGCTGGCTTTGAACTCACGCTCCTCCTGCCTCAGCCTCCAGAGCCACTGGGATTACAGGCATGAGCCACCACACCTGGCTCAGATGACTTTATTTTCATCTATAGTTTAAATTCATTTTTAAACAGTTAAAGAAGCCACATAGTTTAAAATTCAGAAGAAACAAAAAAGTGAATAGTGAAGCCCTCCTCCCTGTCCGTCTCCCTCCTCAGAGACAGCCACTGTCAGGGATTTCATTGGCGTCCTTCCAGTGACATCCTGCGCATGCACAAATGCATAGGTGTGTGCATTTTTTTACATACACCTTTCTACACAAATAGCATATCCCACATGCTCTCCTGCTCCTTGCTGTTTGGGCATAAAGTTGAAGAGTTTAGAGAACAWTCTTTGTCCATCCAGGGCCCCGATTCCTATTTTGATGCTGCCATGACCCCAGGTTGCCCGTCCAGTGTGCTTGTCAGGGGCCCCACTCACAGTGTTTGGCCCTGCCTGTTGCCGGTATCCTCTTGTGTGGTCAGGGTGWCCTGTGAGGTCATTTAGAGTTCTGACATCCTGTCCTTCTCTTAGTCTGACTTTCCTCTTCCTGGTCCTTTAACACGAAGCTCTCCCACCGAGCTCTGGCGGCCTGGGAGCCCTGGTGGGGGAGATGATTGGTTTGTAGGAAGGCAAGCCCACCTGTGCCCGGCCTCAGCATCCACTCACTACCTTGTGCCTCTCCCTGCCTGGCAGTGGCCCTGGGCTCGGAGGACGCCGTGTGTCACAGCTCCAACTCCACCTACACACCCGTGAGCGGCTCGCTGGGAGCTGACCCAGAGGCGCTGCCCGGATTGGACTGCCCAGGCCCCGGGCTGCCGAGGCCCGAGGACCGCTTTAACGGCGCCTACGTCATCTTCTTCTGCCTGGGCATCGGCAGTCTGCTGCCATGGAACTTCTTTGTCACTGCCAAGGAGTACTGGGCCTTCAAGTTGCGCAACTGCTCCAGCCCAGCCACAGGGAACAGCCCCGAGGACACCGACATCATGGTAAGGGCGCCGTGCCCGGGGTGCCATGCCAGGGAGGCCCGCTGCGTGCTGGTGAGCGGAGGAGGGTGTGGGAGCCGCGTGGACAGAGCTCCACTCAGCACTGACCTGGTTTGCGGGGCGCGCCAGGCTTCGTGTGGCCAGGAAGATGGAGGTGGATAAGACCCAGCTCCAGGGCTCAGTTTGCTTCCTATTCAGTTGCGAGGAGGGGGCAGTGATGCTTCTGTCCGGTGCAGGCTGGTAACCCAGCAATCCAAAGCCGTGGCTCTGGGAGTCGGAAGGTGTGCAYTGAATAGCATTAGGTTCAGCTGTAAGATATAGAGTCTCGCCAAAGAGAAGTGGATCAAACAAGATGGAAGGTCATTTTTCTCTCATATTGAAGTCAGGGGGTTGGGGTGCGGCCTAAGGCTTGTGTGATGTTCTGTGGTGTCAGGAACCCAGTTGTTTGACCATGTGTAGCACYCATGTCCAAGGTTACTCCATGGTCCAAGATGGCAGATGGAGCTCCAGTCATTACATCAATAGGAAGAYGAAAGATGAAAGAAAGAAAGGCATGCTGCTAGTAAAAACACTTCCTGAAAATAACACATTGCTTCTGTTGACACTGCATTGGTCTGAACTCAGTCACATGATCACACTAATTGCAGTGGAAGCTGGGAAATGTAGTTTTGATTTTGTTTGTTTGGTCTTTCTGGTGCTGGGAATTGAACTTCGGGTCTTGGCTCATGCTAAGCACAGATTCTACCACTGGGCTACACTCCCAGCTGTGAATTATCTTCAAATGTAGGTTTATCCCAGAAAACCATGTGTCCACTAAAGTGGGAGGTTGGTAGTTAGCAAAGACAGAGTCTCATAGCCCATTTTCTGTGCCAATAACACAGTACCACAGACTGGGTGAGTTATGAAGAAAGGAGGTTTATTTGGGCTGGTGTCTCTGGAGGTCCAGAGTAGAGAGGCTGCCTCTCCTGTGGCTTTCTTGCTGGCAGAGGTGGGGCACAGCACCCCACAGCAAGCAACAGGGAGCTTGAGTGCGTGTGAGTCGGGTCTCTTTTTTWAAAATCCCCAAGAAATGGTGATGGGGTCCACCTAATGCTTATCTTGCTCTGCTCATCTCCCAGAGGTCTCCCTTCTAAATATCATATTAAGTTTCCACGCTCTTGATGCCTCACACTGGGGATTACATTTCAACACCGTGGCCTTGGGGGACACTGCATTTCAGGGTGGGCGGGGTGCAGCTCAGTGTAGAGCACATGCCTAGTGTGCTTGAGACCCTTGGTCTATCACAGCATCAAAAAAAAAACTACATTTCCCAGTATCCATTGCAGCAGGCATGGTCACGTGACTAGTTCTGGCCAATGCAGTGTGCATAAAGGCAAGGAGGGCTATGTCTACACCACAGCACAGGAGATAGGAACCCTTGGGGACAAGGAGTCTGGGGCACAAGGTAGAGATCTCTGTGATCAGGGTGGATTTGAAGAATGRGGGAGGAGACTGCAGATGGAAGAAACGGCTGGGCCAAGGCAGACCAAGAGGAAGGATGTGAGGAGCCACGGGGCATCAGGTCTGGCTGTACAGGGTTTGCGGCAGGGGCCCTGTGGCTCAGACCTCTGCCCAGGCCTGGGGGCTCAAGGTGAGAAATCTRAATTGTTTGATTGACAGTGGCACTAAGCTCCTCCCTCCCAGCGCAGGGCTGCACATTGTGCCTGTGGGTTTTCTGGGGGGAGAGACCGGCAGGGGAGGAGTGTTAAAGAAAAAAAATAACTGACRCTTGCTAAAACAGCAAGGCCAACTTTGTTTAAGACTCTTGCAATAGGGAGAGAGCTGGGACTCGACTCTGACAAGGACAGGTATATTTATAGCCAGGAACAGAGAGAGGGGTCAGTGGATGGAAGATGACTAAGTGGGACTTCAAGGGTAGAGGATGCTCGCTCAMACACACGTGGGTGGAGAAGCGAAGCGGGCTCTGAAGGCATGGGGTGGGGTGTTGTCAGAGCCCTGTGCCTTTCCTCCGGGGCATCCCTCAGGGACAGGAGGGAACACCAGCAGAGCCAGCCACAGGGCCAGCCCTACCCCTTGGCTGGCACAGGAGGTAGCTCACTGCTCCTTCTCTGAAGACACCTTCTTATCCTTGACCTAACCCCTGGAACCTTCCTCAGTGTGGGCATGAACGGGGAACACATGGGAAGGGCATCTCTTTCCGCCTTTCAAGGCCTGAGCCCAGCTGCTACACACCTGGATCACCAGGGAGCATTTTGCAAAATACCCATCAAGCCCAGCCCAGGGATCCTGCTGGAGTGAGTCTCAGCCGTGGTGCAGACTTTGGTATTTTCTAGTTTACTCTCCTGTCTGATTGCCACCCCCCAATAGCTTTGACTTCCCGGGGGCCTCTTCTGTGAACCTAAGAATTCACCTGGGGTCTGAGCCTGTTTGTGCAGCTGAAGATCCCCTGCCAGGGAGTGTATGGTGCACAGCCTCCTGTGGTCCTGAGACCAGCAGCCCTGGGGGCTTGTGGGTAGTGCAGCCTCCAGCCCCACCCGAGACCCAGAGTCAGGATCAACTGGGTTCCAAGAACCAAGACTTGCCACCTGTAGCTCCTGGGAAGGTGACTGRCAGGTGCAGTGGCTTTTGAGAAGCCCTGGCTAGTTGTTGGCTCTGGGTCTGAGTCAGCCTCTGTGACACCTTGTTTTCCTGGTGTATAAAAGCACCATGTTGGGTGTGGTGGCGCACGCCTGTAATCCCAGTGGCTTGGGGAGTCTGAGGCAGGAGGATCACAGGTTCAAAGCCAGCCTCAACAACTCAGTGAGGCCTTAAGCAACTCAGTGAGACCCTGTCTCTAAATAAAATACAAAAAAGGGCTGGGGATGTGGCTCAGAGGTTAAGTACCCCTGGGTTCAATCCCTGTATTTTTTTWAAAAAAGAACCATATCCTGGGGGGTGTGGGTAAACCCATTCCTGGGTGTTGGGACAGGCCTGGTCCACTATCCCAGGTGCTGTACAAACATGATCAGTGCAAATCCCCGCTCTTCCGAGCTGCCTGTGGCCCTGGTGTGTCCCCACGGGCTCTGCCTTAGCCRGGTGCTTTATGGTCCTCTCTTATTCACTAGGGGCTCCTGTGTCCCAGCCGTCCACKGGCCTCGGTAGATGCTGCTGCCCACTGGGCTTCTTCCAGCAGGTCCCCGCTCCYGGGTGCAGGCTGCTGAGGGAGGGAGAGCAAGTGCAGGGTGTCTGGGAACGGCGCTGGCTCTTGGCGGAGAGGCCCTCCCAGGCCGTCCCTTCCCAGCTGCAGGCACTTAGCATTCCAGCCCCGCTCAATGCTTTATTGCCCGTTTCCAAGTRCTGGCAGGTGCGGATGTAGTACCTGTGGCTGCCCGGAGCTCCTGGCTCTTGGCATCGGAGATGAGAGACCTGTCACCCCTCGATTCATGGGCCGGTGCTGGGAACAGGCGTGCTGGGGTGTCTCTGCGTTTTCTGGGCTATTTTTCTTTTCCTCATTCTTCATTCCTGCCACCAGCCTCCCCCGTGCTTCCCCTCCTCTTCCCAATTCCCTGCAAGAGGCGGCCGGTCTGCCCAGCATCTTGAGGGCCAGTTTGTGGGAAAGGGACGGGGGAGTTGGACAAATCCACCTCTACCTGCCACCTGCAGCTCCATCAGCTGAGGGTCTCCATGGTTGGGGATTTTTTTAGGGGGGGAGATACTTTTAATATTTTGTTGGAATAGATAGCATTTGCTGGGGAGTTTGACCCCATAGGATTGTTTGAACAGAAACCCCCACTCCAGTGATGTCACTTTCAAGGTCACCTCCCGTGCCAGGCTCCCGTCTTCTGCCTGCAGCAGTTTGGGCATGGTTTAGACAGCTTGCTGCTTGCCCGTCTCTCCTCTCTTTCTCTGGAATGAGACCCACAAATAAACCCAGCGAAGCCCTGTTGGCCCAGGGCCAAAAACTAGGGCATAACTGAGGAAGAGTTGGCATGGAAAGCTGGCGTGGGGCAAGCTGCCGMAGCCTCCATTTTGGGAGCCCACTGTGCCGGCAGGGGTCGGCACAGATTTCCCTCTTGTTACCCCAGCAAGGTGGGTCTCAGTGACGCGGTTCTGGAGATTGAACCCAGAGGTGCTCTACCCCAGAGCTAGGTCCCCAGCTCTTTTTATTTTATTTTGAGACAGGGCCTCCCTAACCTACCCCAGGCTGGACTGGAGCTTGTGATCTTCCTTTCTCAGCCCCCTGAGCAGCTGGGATTCCCGGTGGGCAGCACCGGGCCTGGCTGGCCATCTATTTTTTCAGAGCTGAATTCCAAAGATTGGTGCTGGGTGAAATCTCCCCTCCCCCATCAAAATGCAGTGAGGCGGGGTTTGGCCTGAGCCCCGTCAAGGAGGTGGCAGGAGATGGTGGGGACAGTTGGAGAAGTGGGCTGGGGGTTGCAGGCTCCTGCCACAAGGTGTGGGCGAGCCGCATGCAGAGGGCAGCACCCCCTCCCCGCCAGCCGCCCAGTCAGGGGCTGCTCTAGACCATTTTTTWAAAAAATTAGAACCAAAAGCGAGTCATTTTTCATTCCCCTGTCCACTCTGGGACTCTAACTGCAGTCCAGCCAACGTGATAGTCCCAGCTTTGACTTCGTTTTTAGCCCTYGCCACGTCCTGCAGAGGCAGGGAGCCGGCCTGGCCTCAGCCTGTGGGTCCTGGCCCTCGGGGCCTCTCGGGCCCTGATTCTCTTTCTCCCTCCTGATCTCGCCCCCTCCCCTCCTGCACCCCGTCCCCAGGCCCTCCAGGGCCATCAATCGCTCGGTCTCTGCCTTCGATTTTCTTTCTTCCCGCCCGCCTCCCTAGAATCCAGAGGCGATTTCCTGCCCATGTGAGAAGCGGGCCTGGGYCCTGAGCTCAGTGTCGTTTTAAGGTGATGGATCATCACAAGCACCCGGAGAGCCGGGCCTAGAGGGGGGTCTCCAGGAGAAGCCGCGGYGTCTTCACTGAGGGCAGCCACGGTCTGCGAAGGGTCTGCGGGGACGGTG